ATATCTTAATTTTCATAGTCACTGCCCTATTCATTACAAACGCGGTTTAATAAAGAGCTTATTCAGTAGAATCAATCGTATCTGTACTAGTGATACTATTGAAGTCGAGACGAAGCTCCTGACTGATACGTTAGTGAATAATGGTTATTCTTTGAAGTTCATAAACCACTGGAAGGGTTGCAATACGATTAGACCTATGACGCTTCTGGCACCCAAAAAGCGAGTTTATATTACGTTACCACTCAGAGGCGACAAAAATAGTCTCATATTGAAACGGAGACTTAAATTAGCCATCAACCGGACATTTTATGCAGCCCAACTTGTCATTATTGAAAAGACAAGGTCTATGTTTCACCAAAAGCCCAAACAGCACGTAAGCGTTTGTGTCACATCCCATTGCGTCTATCAATTTACATGTATGTGTGGAAACACGTATATAGGGAGGAGCAATCGTGATTTGCAATTAATGATGGGTGAACACATACCAAAATGGTTGCAAAAAGAAATGGATTTCAATGGTCAAATAAGATCACAGGATAGACAGACATCATCCTCCATTGCGAAACATTTGATTGAGACGGGTCTTAAGGTCGACATCAAATCAGCATTTGTAGTGTTATACAAAAGCCTTCAAGGACGTATACTAAGGTTTATTGAAGCCTTGGCTATACGGAAACTAAAACCCCCTTTATGTGTTCAAAAACAATTTGTCCTTACACTTAACCTACCCTGGTAATACTGATTTATTATCCAGAGTGGTAATCACATTTGTTTTGTGTACTTTAATATTTTTTCCTTTGTTATGACTTACCCTTAACCTGTCTAGTTGACCTTTTATTTTTATATATAAATGCTCTTAACAAGTATATGTGTGATCAGATTGTTCGAATTGTATTGCGCTAATATATCACATAATTCTGATAAACTTCGTCTTCTCATTGCATTATCGAGATTGAAATAACCTTTATTAATTTTAACTCTTTCTTTTTATAATCCTACTCCAACCTTTAATTTTTATTTTTACCATTCGTCTTCTGATATTTATCTCTCATACAATCTTACGGATCTTCATATATTCTTCTTATTAATATGATTTTAGTTGCATTTCGAACGTTTATTTAAACTTCACAAAATAAAGTACGCTAAACATTTGTCAATAATTATATTTATCCTTCAGAGATTGTTTAATTATTTATATGATAATATACTTTTCAGGGATTCAGGTTGATAGTTATTGGTCCATCAAAGATTTACCATTTTTCAGAAAAAATAATTGTTCCCATTTTGAAAGTTTGTTATTGGATTTCTCTGAATACTAATTTTAAATGTTACTATTGACGATCGGAAAACTAGTAATCATCAAATACAACCATAAATTGTTTAGTGATTGCAGATTTTTTGCTTGTTTACAAAAAAATGCGGTCATTGAACACCTTTGATTCGAGTCATGGACTCGACAGTTGTTTCATGTACTGAAAAATATTTACATGAATAATTTCATCATTTTTTTCATGAATCTTGAAACGCCACTATGGTTTAGTAATTAAAATGCAAGTGGTTCACAAAAGATTTTGTGAAACTGTTTAAGATATTTTCAGTGACTATAAAATCAGCCAGTCAGAAGATATTTAAGTTGAATCAAGCCGAATTTGTATAAAAATAACTTAGTTTCACAGAGACAGGATAAAAGTTGTAACGTTCAATAACTGATTTTCCTAAGATCGCACATCATTTTGAAAATTACCGTTTATGGAAAGTGAATGGTGCATTGAGAATTACATCGATCTCACAGGTATAACAAATTGACTTTTGTAATCTCCCTATCATTTTTGGAAAACTAACTTACCTGTTGTAGTTACTTAAACTTAAAACGATATCCCTTTCCAAAATATTTATCTTCATCTCTGAAGAATCAACATTATAAACATAAGCGAAGATACTAAGATTATTAATCACTTGTAATTTGCCTATTTGTTTCATGGTAATGATTTTGTTTAGCACCAACAATGAATTTGCTATAAACATTTGTGGACTTGAAAACGATATACTTTCATAGTATTTCATTATTAATTGACAATATGAAAAAAAGTTGAATTCATTCTATTATATAACTAAAATTATGACACAACTACCATATAATCAGAAACTTGAAAAACGATTACATATTCACCAACAGAAGTAAGATATGCCTATTACGTTTTTTGATATTAGCTTATTACTTGTAGGATGTAAGTTGTTTGTTTAACGTCTATGTATTTCTTTAAATAAATTCAATTGTTGACATTTACAGGATAATAAAAACATGTAGTTAATTTAGTTATCCAGTGATTTAATCCTATGGGAAATGATTATCAGCTTGTTTAGCACAGGAGGTACTTATCAGTAATTTCAAAATACATTTTTACGTAACCAGTACTGTAATGTAATCTACATTTTACTAAGCTAACTTAACAATTAAGATCAAATTTAATTGAGTTTGATAAATTAGATTTTGGCAATCAATAATATTCCAAATTAATTTCTACAGAATTTTTCATGAATGGTATATAATAGAAGGATCTTATTCATGTACTTGTAGCTATTATGTATACAAAAAAGGTTGTGTTTTTTTCATTTATGAAAGATTATATGAATAAATAGTGTTTTGACAATTGGTTTATTATCATACTACTGAAGGAACAATGATAAATTAGACAGATAATTAGAAGCAGACAAAAATGTTTATAAAGTCAGACAAGTAAAAATAACAGTCAAAAGGCTAAATACTAAACAATTAGTACATCATTAATTGTCAATATGTTCTCTTCAGTTTTTCCTCATTTTTCTGATTTTATAGAAAATAGTATGTTAACATGTCAAGTATACTGTCAGATATTGTAAATATATTATGCAGAGATATCTTAAACAAGGGGAAAGCATCTAGTAACATAAAAACAATAAATGCCTATTGGGATATTACTTGTCATTTTTAAAGCAAGAATATCTGCATCAATGCACGTATCATATATATATATATATATATATATATATATATATATATATATATATATATATATATCAATTAATTGTCTAGTTGATCAAATGCCTGAGTATATGTACAGATAATTGTAGCTCTTATCCTAATTTACAGATTTCATTTGTTTTATGTTATGAGGATGTGAATTATCACTTACCTATGCAGCATTGTTAACTCTTTTCAGCGTAATATAACTTAGTATAATCATGTAAATTTGAAAAATAGATTGTGATGCTAATTGATGCAAAGCTTGATTTAATTCATAACATTATTGGCAACTTTGAATTTTACATGTGTTTAGGAGTGTTAAGCATAAGACAGTTTGCATGGCTAGTCAAAGAACTACAAACGTTTCGTAAATGTGTTTTATTTTACCATTAACAATTTTGTAAATATTTACACCAAATGATCATTTTAACAAACTGCTACAACTTATTGTACTCTTCATTTTATATCAAACTGTGTCGTAGATATGCTTCTATACGCAATATTTTTTTATCTGACGCTTAGTGAGTTCTTCTCCTTAGTGGACATGATTCTGCTTGAAGAATAAATTGCATTAGTTATGCTGTGTCGAATTATGTTGTTCTCAAATCAATGTTTAATGGTAGAATTACCGTGCATCATTGCCTGATTTGATTGGAGAACGTTTGTTACTATGTGCGCCTTAACTATCCTGAGCGATTCATCAACAAGTAACTCCTAATTTATAGAAATTATATCAATGGAAGACTGTTTAGTTGAAAGAAAAGCGGTTATAGTTGAGTGTCATGTCTTTACAAGTTTTCAGAATATTTTTCCTGAAATCCCACATGTGACTAACTCTTATTCAGAATTTTTGTCAGAACTATACGAGTAATTAGATAGATAGATAGATTAAGTAACCTCAAGGTACGATATCACAACTGGTTGCTGACATATGTAGTTACTAAGGTGAAGCATACAAAACCAATGTACTTGTCTTCTTGGCCTTAGTAACATTAAGAAAATACTATGTATGTTTTCAAAAGCGTAATTAAGATTCCTAATTATGTTTATATGAAATCAATGATACAAGTAATGTTCCAAAAAATATTTTTATTTATAGACATAAATTTCCCATTCAATCTCAAATGCGAGTTACTTACTACTATTCTCAATGTATTGCTGAATATGATAGTTTGTAATGACTTAAAACATAATAAATTTCTGTATTATAAGAAACTTAAAATTTATTAGCTCTTATCAATTTAACTAACCAGAAGTCGATACTTTTCAAGTGTTTTTCATTTTTAGTTTCTGAAGCTCAGTTAGATTAAACAGGAAATAACAAAAAAAGTAACTCATCAAAATACCTATATTTTAAATTTTGTATAAGTCAGTTCGATGCCCCTATCTATTTGGTTACAGAATATCAGTCAAGTACTTTTTAAACAAATTATGTTATACTAAATTTATTATATTAGTGTCTTGGGTACCTCTTAATTTATAATATTTTGACAATTTAATAGGAAATTATAAAATAGATCTATTTATACATAAAAATTAAAATGATTTTTATTTTATTTGTATGAGATATTCAAGAAACAAACTTTTCTGACATACTTTGTAAAACATAAACCGCTTTATTGATGGAAATGTTACGTAACAAATACTAAAAGGGGACTTTCGATGTTCTCTAGTATTATATATAGCTACTGTATTACATATTTCAAATGCCAGAATAGGGAAAAAATGGATTAAATAATTAAAAGTATTAATACAGTAATTATCTATAGGAATGTTTATTTATTCATAAAGTACCTTGGTCCTAACAAACCTGAAAAGTGAATCATACAATAAATGTGATATTTTTCATTAAATATAATTTACATTATTTAACCAATCAAAAACTTATTTTAATTTAATGTACACTATTTGTCTAAAATTTAATTTTTAATCTAATTCTCATTGGTTAACAATAATGAGTAAATTCAATATTATTAGCTATTGAAACTTAATGTAGAAATGATTTTTAAAAAAAATAAAATTTCAGATCTAAATTTATAATTGAAAAAAAATTTTGTTGAATAATCTATGACTGAACTATGAATGATCTTTTTGTTTGAAACATCCATTATTTTAAGTCAATTGTAAATGAACATCCTATGTAATTTCAACAACATAGTTGTCATTGTGTGAACCGTAAATCTTTGAAATTTCGAATGTATACAGAGAGAAATACTAGATCTGTATTAAGTAAAACTTTATTAATATTAATATGGTTGCATGAACAAGATCAAATTGTATTTGGTTTTAATGGATATATAAATTATGATATATTAGGAATTAAAAATGATGAAATTATAAAATCACCCATGATATGTGTAAATCAAAATGTTTTTGGTTGTGAAAGAAATTCTAAATTAAGATTTAATGATTCTGTATTATTACAAAGTAATAAATCTAATCATGATTGTGACTTATTTAGTGTGGATATGAATCAGGATTTATCAAATGGAGTAAAAGAATGTATTGGTGAGTATTTAGAATATAATAACTTTTGTGCCTGGGAATAAAATTATACTTTATATGTCAAATTGGTTTTCATTTAATGGATGACATGATTATTTAGACAGTTAAAATTCAATTTTTGTTCTAGGTGTTCCATTTAGATTTTGGTTAGCTTAAAAAAATACTGGAAACATTAAAGCGAGATTTAGGGTGGGGCTATTTTACTTAATATAACATATTGCAGATTACCCAATGTTCAACCAATATTTATCTATATATATCTATATATATATATATATATATATTGCTGGTTAGCGTTTTTTTAGCGAGTTAGTTTTCTACGGGATGGGGTCGTTAACCCCATGCCCAACCCTCCTCCCTTATCGGGGCTTGGGACCGGCAGTCTCCTCCGGAGGGACTCCAGTCGGAGTTTTATATATATATATATATATATATATATATATATATATTATAGCGATTCACCAAAGTTTATTTATGTTTAACACTAAAGATTTTGATAAATAATGATAGTTAACGATGAAATAATTAATATGTGCTAAAATGTTATTCACGTAAGGAATAACCAGAAGTTATTATTATTTAATTGTATTATAACCAAACAATATTCAAAAATCATCTTAGTAACAAGTTAAAAGAGCTCTAGGGGTATATAATTAGTTATTTAGAGAAAAAGTGATTTCAAGTCAAAGATAAAACAGACAGAATTAATTTTCACAAAAATGTTTGTAACTAACATATTTCTTTATCTTTATCAATAGAATTTGATAATGAAGATCAGTTTGCGTATTTTGAAGGATAATTTTATTTAAGTTTATTTTATTTCTTAGTTGATTTTCTGCAAATTTAATTGTAGTTACGATGAAGTTAATGCATAGAAAAATATTGAAATTTTCCAGATTTATAGTTGTTTAGTAGTTATTACACAAATTTTAAAGATCATTTTGAAAACAGAGGTGGTCATCAAGTTTTACTTGACTTGCGTAAGTAGTGATATAATTTTATATAAGCTAATGTTGTTCTTTGTATCTCGACATTTCCACAAATTGCTGATGAGATTTTATTCACGTATGGATCAAAACGTTTAGTAAGATGGATATAACTACCCTTGTAGTGAACACGAACAAGAGCGGGGGACAATCAAATGTATTTAACAACAAATTACAAAACTTGTTAATAAAATCTAACAACCAAATAGTAAATGCTCAATTTGCAAAATGTCCATCTTGTCTCAAAATGACTTGGACTTCATTGTTCTTGCATTTTCATACAAACGGCATTCTGTCTTCATTCTTTACTCCTTGATCTTATTGTCTCTCTGCTGCTAGACATTCTATTCACGACTAACATCATATACTACTTATGTCTACATAAGTAGCACACACCCCACCCTCAGTTCTAAACATAAAGAACTGGGAAATATAGACGCACTGATGATTATGACATTTAAATAAATTAGTGAACTGTATGATAGTAGTTGGAAGGAAATATATTGAATCTAAATTGTCATATAAACATCACGACTTATTCGCCAATTCATCAACGTGATTATTCTCAAACAAAACGATACGCGTATCTTGGATTTTAATTTTATTCACAATCAAATACATTAAAAATAGTCATATTTATGCCACGTGTATAGATCATTATGGCTGTTAACAGCTAGTGTTATGATCAGTCTGACTTCTCAAATATTTTGTGTCTAAACTTGAATTTTGAGACGTTCCATTTCTAGTCAACGTAAAATAAAATTTATAATTGATACAATTTTATATTGCAAGATGACGCCTTCTTTTAGATTAGTTTGATTGTGTGTGTAAGTGGTTAAATATTTGTTTGTATCGGTGAAAAATATTGATTTCTTATTTAAAACTGTGTGATTGTAATCACAAGTCAATATTACCTTGGTCAGGAATTTCGATAACCTATCGTATACAGTTGAAAGTTTATTATTTTCATTTTTAATGTTCCATAATAATCTATTTTATATTAAGCTTTTCTCATATTCATAATACTCATATTCAAAACAAGGTTTACGTATTATTTTATTAGAAATATCTCATAATCAGTAATATCAGATACATTGTTCACTAGTTCTGTCCACTAAATAAATTCATCTCACGTTTTAAATTACAAAAGAATTTTACTCAGTAGTTTGTACAAATGTAAAAATATTATTAAATTAAAAGATTTTTTGCCTTTTATTTTTATGGAAATAGAATTTTTCATGTTAGCACGCTTCATTAATTAGCTATATATATTCACATGACCTTTAAACATTTTGCCTATTTTTGAGTATTTAGAAAAGCTATATATATATATATATATATATATATATATATACCTGAAAAATGGTATATTAAAAATTTACCCTCAGGTGAAACGAATAATCTTATAGTCAATAAAGTATTGGTAAAAAGTCTGTTATATTTTGCTATTAAAACAAAAAACAAAATTAAAATTTTCTACCGAAAATAGTTTAAAGCTTAAAAGTATTAAACAAGACTAAAATATTTCATCTGGTGGATTTGATAGGAATTTTAAACAATACAAATATATTCCAGGTGTGATGTTGATCATAACTGAATGATCCAGTAAATTTTAATCTTTTCACTAATGTTGTGCCGAAATTGTTTACAACAATCTCTAGCATAACACATAGTGATGGGTGTATATAGATATTTTTTGGTATTTTGTAGCAAATATTAGTGTGGAAAATGAGTTATTTTGCTTAGTTCATAACTGATTAGGTGATAAGAATTTATATTTGAAGAAAAAAGAGTCACTATGTGGTAAACCATTGAATATTCAACATCATATTTATGCAAAACTAAAAGTCGTATTCTACAAGATAGTTATAGTCTTAATTTTTATTTATTGTTCTACAGAATAAAAAAATAATGAATGATTTCAGCGGTTGGGATCATGAGTCAGTTGTAGCTAGACTCATGATTTTAATCATTGAAATTACCAAGATATCCACAAAACCCCTTCTGAAATAATGAAAAGTATATATATATATATATATATATATATATATATATATATATATATATATATATTGGATTACCACTCCAAAAAATAATATTTTTCATATTCAGTCAAAGTCAATCCACAGTCTGATACATTATTTATATCAGACAAATAAAGTTTATCGAAGATGACGTCAATGCTTGAATTGTTTAGCAGCGTGTTGAAGAAAGTTTTTCTCAATCATTATATATTTAATAACACTGGATAAGTTACGGAGGGAGGAATATGTAGTAGAAATGCTATTTTGACAATCTTATGGAAAAAACGTTGCATCTGAAATTTTAATCACTCTAATTCCAGATATGCAACGGGCCGGTAGGTTCTGAGCCTCAGCAAGCATCATCACAACTAATAGATTTCAATGGAAACCATCAACAAAATTCAAGAAGGGAAGAACAAGAAGACAGCAAATAACAACAGCCGACAAACAGCAGAGAGAGTCATGGCACAGGCTGAATACACTGAAGCAAATCAGAAAGTGAAGGGAAGCCTTAGATCTAACAAGCAGAAATACGTGGACGATCAAGCAAGGTCAGTGGAAAAAGCTGCAACTGAAAGAGATATCAGGTGACGATATGATATTACGAAGAACTTCGTGGGGAAACATAGTAAACCGGAGAGAATGGTTAAAGGCAAAGAAAGGAATACAGTCACTGAGATTCAGGAACAGAGGAACAGATGGGTAGAATACTTCGAGGAACTCTTGAATAGATCAGCTCCATTAAATCCATCCAAAATCGAAGCGGCACACACAAACATTCTTGTAGATGTCACTCCACCAACGATCGGAGAAATCAGGATGATCGGCCATCAGATCAATCAAGAGCGGGAAAGCAGCAGGACTGACAGTACCACAAAAAGTTCTCAACAGAGTGTTACTCAACCGGATGAAAGGCTCAGTAGACGCCATACGTTGGGATCAACCCACTGCATTCCGTAAGGATCGGTCATGCACAAACCTAATCGTGACAATACGAATTATCATTGAACAATTAATTAAATGGGACTCACTTCTATACATCAACTTCACTGACTATGAGTAGGCATTTGACAGTGTTGATAGGAGAACTGCATGGAAACGTTTTTGCCACTATGGAATACCTGAGAAATTCTTCAACATCATTCAAAATTCATACGATGGACTGCAGTGCAAAGTGGTGCATGGAGGACAGCTGACAGATGCATTCCAAGTGAGGACCGGAGTCAGACAAGGCTGCCTAATCTCTTCCTTCCTCTTTCTTCGGGTGGTCGACCGCATTATGAAGACCTCGACATCAGAGGGAAAGAAGGAAATACAACGGACACATTGGAATCAATGAGAAGATTTGAATTTTGCAGATAACCTGGCCATTCTATCTCATACACACGAACAAATGTAGATGAAGACAACTAGTGTAGCAGAAGCCTCTGAATCTGTAGGCCTCAACATACACAAAGGAAAGAACAAGATCCTCAAATGCAACACGAAGAACACCGACCCGATCACATCTGATGGAGATGCTCTGGAAACATCCACGTACCTGGGAAGCATCATCGATGAACAAGGAGGATCGGATGCAGATCTGAAGGCGAAGATTGGCAAAGCAAGGTACGCATTCCTACAGTTGAAGAAAATATGGAACTCAAAACAACTGTCAACTAAAATGAAATTCAGAATCTTCAATTCGAACGTTGAAACAGTCCTATTGTACGGGGCTGAAACATGGAAAACTACAACAGATGTCTTCAAGAATTTACAAGTATTTATAAATAGTTGTCTACTCAAGATACTCAACATACATTGGCCTACTATGATAGAGGACAAACCAGCTTCCAGATGATGAGGAAATTAGGAAAATACGTTGTAAGTGGATAGGACATACATTACGGCTTCTTCAACAATTACATTCATTTCATACACTATTAATATCCGTTTAAAAGTTAGATGGACATTAAATTTATTGATGAATATTTCATTTTAGATCAATTACTGA